GAATTAAGAGGCACTAGGCATACAGCAGTTCCGTCTAACTTAAAATGTACCGATTCGGACCAGGTCACAACTGACAAAGATGTTATGAATAACATGATTATGAGTTATTGGAAAAATATTGGTAAAAGTAGTCAGTCTAAACATAATAATGATATTGTTATTAATAGCCATCTATTTGATATCAGAGAAGGTTTAATCAAAAACAATGTCAATAAACCAACAAATACACTTGATGATATAGAAATATATTTTGATGATGTTAAAAGTGCTTTGTTACGTGCTAAAAACAATAAATCACCCGGTATCGATTGTATAACTAATGAGCTGTTAAAGAATGGTGGTAATTCATTAATTAGATCCTTAACATACCTCTTCAATAATTTTATTGATAATGGAGATATTCCCAAAGAATGGAACAGAGGAATAAAAATTCCTATACACAAAAAAGGTAATAAAAATGATCTTAACAACTATAGAGGAATTACCCTATCTTCATGTGTATCTAAGATTTTTGACCGTATTATTTGTGATCGCATTTCTGAGTTTTTAGAAGATAACAGTGTCCTTACGGAAATCCAGGGAGGCTTTAGAAAAGATCATAGGTGTGAGGACCACATTTTCACATTAAAAAGCATTCTTGCAACGCGAAGTGCGGAAAATAAGCCCACTTATTTAGCATTCCTGGATTTCCGTAAAGCATTTGATACTGTTTGGCGAGGTATACGGACATAAACCACCCAGGACATAAACCACCCAGGACATAAACCACCCAATTGGAATATACCATTGTTAAAGTGGGTGGGCAACAGGGTGAACAATTTATCTATTTTATCTAGCTTTACAATAGGACTTAATTTGCTACTGTACACTTCTTTTATACGCCTTTAATTCATTCATTTCTTCTGACAACATGCATGTTGGTTAGTAATCATTGTAGATTTTAGTAATCACTGTGCTTAAAGTTTAATTTTTTTTAGTTTTCTAAATTTATTTTAATTTTTAAAATGACTTACATTAAAAATCACTTTCAATTAAATACTTGATTTAGAAAATATGCTTAATATTGCAGGTCAATTTTCTAAGAAATGGAAACTTGAATTTAATTATGATAAGTCTAATGTCGTTGTGGTCGGTAAACGAACTGACAAACTTAAAAAATGGCCACTAGGTA